AAAGTGCTGGGATTACAGGCCTGAGCCATCGCACCAGGCCCAAAGCCCATTTCAACAGACTACTCTTCGCCTCCAGGTGGCTGGTCTCCTTCTACTTCCTTCCCTTCCCGGCTTGTACCGCACCAGATCCAGGGTGGGGTGGGGCAGGGCAGAGGCGCCAGACTCACCTCTGCATCTCTTTCTCGTTGCCCTCACGCCGGAAGCGCTCCAGGTATTCCTTGCTGCACTTCTCTTGAGTCTGGCCCTGCTCTTCAAAGATCTTGATAGTCTCATTGAAGGCCTCAATCGCGGTACGCTTCATCTGCAGCTCCTGGAGGAGGGGGCGCAGCTCAGCACCTCCTGGGACTCCCCAAAAGGCCCTCATGAGGGGTAAAGGCACATCTCAACTCTGATATGGAGACTGCTCAAGTTGGTCCCTCTATCGGAGTGTCATTCTTCTAACTCCTGCTGTACCAAATGAACTCCTCTTCAGCCTTCAAAACCCCATCCCCCAAACCCTCTTCTTCTTTACATCCTCCTATAGGTATCCACAAACACCTGGACCTGTTAACACTGCTGGGAATGAATGAGAGATCTAGTTGCTACAGCTCACAGTGCTTCTTGGGGGAGACGCTGCACTAGGACTTTCCTTACATTGTCACATGGACCCTTCCAACAACTCCCAACAAAGTAACAACTATTAACAGGGAAACTGAGGCTCAGAGCCAAAGCCAATTCTGAAGTTACAGTGCTCCTAACTGATCCTGGACAGCTGTCTTGTCCATTTAGAGCCTCAGCTAACACATCAGTAAAAAGGGGACAGAGGCCAGGGCTGGTGGCGATTGCCTGTAATCCTAGCTACTTGGGAAGCTAAAGTGGGAGGATCTCTTGAACCCTGAGGAGTCTGAGGCCAGCCTGGGCAACATGGTGAGACCGCACCTCAAAATTCTTTTTTGTTTGAGATGGAGTCTCGTTCTTGTCACCCAGGCTGGAGCAGTGGTGTGATCTTGGCTCACTGCAACCTCTGCCTCTTGGGTTCAAGTGATTCTCCTGCCTCAGCCTTCCAAGTAGCTGGTATTACAGGTGTGCACCACCATGCCT